TGGCCCCACAAACAGATTAACATAGTCCATGTTTTGGGGAAGCATGCTCAATGGCTCAATACTGGAAAGGTTGAGAATTACAGGGAGAAAATAAAAGACTTAATCAGTTACGTTTGTCTCCATCTACATTCTTTTGTGCAATAAATGATAGGAATTCTGAAATGTCACTTTTGATAAAGTTAAATTCAAAGCAATCTCATTTCCACTGTCTCAGATGGAGTGTCTCACCTGAGATTTGTCATCTATTAAAAAAGTAAGACATAACTGCAGGCAATTCTGCCATCAAGCAAATCCTAATAAGTGATTTAGTAGAAGTAACAAGGTGCAAAGGCATGATGGGATATGGGGAACTTACTTTGTAGGGTTCTCTGAAATTCTCCTAAAGGAGGTTTTTGTGGAATCAGACTTTGAATCATGGTGCTATGGTCTGAATGTTTGTATCCTTCATAAAATGCAGATATTGAAATCCTAACCCCAAGGTGATGGTATTAAGAGGTAGGGCCCTTTGGCAGTGATTGGGTCATGAGGGTGGCGTCCTCATGAATGGAATTTATGCCCTTATGAAAAATGCCCATGGGAGCTGAGTTGTCCCTTCCACCATGTGAGGACACAGCCAGAAGGCACCATGTATCAACCAGAAAGTGGGCCCTCACTAGACGCTGAATCTGCTGCTACCTTGATCTTGGACTTCTCAACTTCCAGAACTGAGAAATAAATTTCTGTTGTTGATAAGCCACCCTGTTTATGGTATTTTGTTATAGAAGTCCCAATGGACTAACACACATGGTTAAGATATGGCAGAACAATCGGGAAGATGTAGAGGAAAACTTGATCAAAACATCTAAGCAGGGTTGAAATTCATAGAATCTTCAGAAGTGGTGAGTGCACAAACTGTTTTGGTGAAAACTGAGACACTAGGAACTTGCTAGTAAAAATGCCTCACCAAATGCGAAGTTATGGTTTTACTCATTGCTAAGAGTAATTTTCTTTTCTGGACACACTGGTGACACTCCTTTTTGCTTCAGATCCCACAAATATACATTATTTGTGCCACACTTCAACTACTACTATTAAAATTGATATTAAAGGATTAATATCTTAATGGCACTTAGAACCATTCTTGATGCTTTATAAATGTTATATAAGTAAATATAAAGGAAACAAAATAACTTTCCAGTCTGCCCACCACCTTTCTTGACATGCTTCTGTGTGTTCCTTAACTTATCCCTGCATCATTTGATGATATTTAGCAAGAGAGTAGCAGACTTGAATTTCAGTCCTACCTCCAAAAAAAAAAATCTTTGTTTGAATAATTAAGTATGTCACTCTTTTATCTGTTAAGAAGGACATTACACATGATTTTGGTGATCATTTAGAGAGTTAACTATGCAGTAAATTACTCTGTAATAGAAAATATGTATAAATTGGAAATAAATTTACAGTTTTGGGTAATAAGAACAACTTATACAAGACCTCTGTTGGCATAACTAAGATTACCTTTTTATCAAGTACAAGATTATCTTTCTATAATCTGTGTATGTATAATTACATACTAAATATAAATTTGGTGATTTAGGCATTTATTGTACCAAAGGACTCATAGAAACAATAATTTGTACCCAGTAAATGCTGCTCTTTACTATCAGTGGATTCTTAGATTAAGTCCAAAAGAAGATGCAAGTATGGTGGGGGTTCTTTCTTGCCCAACAAATTCATACTCCCAGCTCTCTCTTACCAGCCCATGTACGCCCATTCACTTTTCTGACACAGAAATTAGGAAAGCATGATTGGGCAGGGGGTCCCCAAAGGCTGACAATCACAGCATCCTATGAAGTGTACCTCCAGGTCTCTAATGACACAGACACATATTTACCATGATAAGGCCGTGTGGCTGAAACTGTGTATGCAACATGAGGGTTATTTACAGGAAAGTAAACTTCACAGTGTGAAATATCTTTGTGGGTATATTTGTTTCAAGTACTTAAGAATGATCAAAGAATATAGGGGGAAAAGTACCAAAAAGAAATTCACTCTCCTTTTCTGAGGATGTTTTTCTCTTCTTTCTTCTGCTTCCCAGCTGTGGAAATGTGTTGGAGCAGCAGTCCCCAATTTTTTTGCCACCAGGGACTGGTTTCATGGAAGACAATTTTTCCACGGATGGGGGAGGCAGAGCTCAGGGAGTGATGCAAGAGCAGCTGTAAATACAGATGAAGCTTCCCTCGCTCGCCCACCACTCACCTCCTGCTGTGTGGTCTGGTTCCTAACAGGCCACAGACTGGTATCGGTTCATGGCCCAGGGTTTGGAGGACCACAGTGTTGGAGACCAAAGCTGTGACTGCAGTCCACAGCAGAGCCCAGGAGGACTCCCAAAGGCCCCAGAGATGCCCAAGGACCAGGGGCTTATGAAATGCAGGAAAACGGGTCTCACAAGCACTATGAGGAATAGCATTTAGCTGCAGTAAAACACGAACTGCCAAGAATGAGAAAACCAAAAGAGATCTAGAGTTCTTCCAAAGTGCCACATCCCACAAAAGACCCCAGGGATCTGTTCTGGGCACAACAGTGTTGGTAAGTGTGGGAGGTAAAAGAAGTGCCTTGAGGCTCATGCCATCCGCAGCAGAGTGGAGAGGCTGGCACTGGGGAGACTCGCCACCTCTGCAGTAGGCAGATAGGATGAGCAGTTAGATGAACAGAAGATAAGATTCTATCAGCAAATTCAAGTCTGTGGAGGACAGGCATATGGATGAAGACATGCACACAGAAGACCAGAGTCTCAGAGAACCCCACTGGGATCACACAGTGCTCCTGTTTATCCAGAAAGAGGGTAGGTAAAGCACAAGTTTTACCTAAATGTGGGGTGAATGTTGCCAGTTCTGTCTGCTCTCCAGGTCCTGCTCCTCACTGACAGATCTACCTACTGACATAGCAGTGGCCCAGTAGCAGTCCTGTTGGAAGGTAATGCCTTGCATGCCCGAGCCTGACTTTGTAGGTCAAGATGAGACCCACGTCTCAGTCTTCCATCAACTGCAAATGAAGTAGAACTTAGGACTCACTGTGCTTCCCGATGATCCCAGTGGTCCTCATCGGGTCTTCCATGCTCCCCAGTTAACCTAGTTGACCACACTGGGGACTGTCATGCCTCTCTAGTGACAATATCATAAAGGGTCAAGAGACTGTACACAGAGAAAAGCAACAGTAGCTTCAGAAGCTGTGGCCTTGAACATGTACCTTCATGGCAAGACAATCTAGCCCAGTAAACTCTAATGGCCTCACTCCCATCAAAGCTTATAAAACTTATGACCAACAGAGAATATATATTATTTTCAAGGCTGTATTTTAAGCATTTTATGTAATGTAATTACATATGTAATTATGTAATTTTATGTGACATAAATATTTTTTGCGTGAGGATTAAAAAGTGCAATCTCTGATCCCGAGTTCCTGCTGCCAAAGGGATGTCTAATGGTGTTAGGAGGGAATTTCCTATACATCTCAAAGCACCCTCTCTGTGAGTTACAGGACATACTTGGGGTTCCATGGGTCTGCAGGGGACAGGAGGTGAAAGGCAGGGCACACTCTGAAGGGAAGAATACGTGTAGAAGACATTGGAGATATTAAGACTAGATTCAAACCCAAGCTTCAGTTTTCCAACCCTACTCTCCACCTTAAAGAGCAGTACTTCAGGTCATGCAAACCCATTCCTGGTTCATGTGTGTTGCACATATGTTCCAATACTCTAGAGAATTGGGACTGTATTTTGGGCAGAGTAAGAAAAAATGGGATCGAGACAGTATTTGAAAGATTTTTATGGTTTTATGCCTTACATTTAAGTCTTTTATCCATCTTGAATTAATTTTTATAAATGGTTAGAGATAGAGGTTCTGTTTCATTCTCCTGCATGTGACTATCCAATTTTCCCAGCACCATTTATTGAATAGGGCTTCCTTTCCCCAGTGTATGTGTTGTCTGCTTTGTCGAAGATCACTTGGTTGTAGGTAAATGGTTTTATATCTGCATTCTCTGTTCTGTTCCATTGGTCTATGTCTCTATTTTTGTACCAATAGTATGCTGTTTGGGTTACTGTAACCTTGGAGAAAAATTTGAAGTCTGGTGATGTGATGCCTCCAGATTTGTTATTTTTGCTCAAGATTTCTTTGGCTATTTGGGTTCCATTTTGGTTCTAAACAAAGTGTAGATTTAAACAAAAGGAGGAAATGCTTAATTCTTGGATTTGAAAATAATGAATTAGTTTGTCAAATATGTGTGTGTGGGAATGTGTGTTACAGCAAGTTCTGTAAGTCTTTGTGTGGCTTTTGTAACTCAGAATTGTTATTTACTAAAGAAAAATCATTTAGGAGTTTATTTATATTTTTATTAACTTAGTTTTATGAATTTTAAGTAGCAAACCACTAGTTTGAATTTTTGTGTCAGAACATGAGTAAAGATAGCAAATGTTAATATGAACAATGACAACTAAAATATTCAAATTTCACAAATTAAATAAGTATAAACTAAAGTTCAGTTCTACTTCTGAATCAATGAGAATAGAAAACCTATTATGTGGGAAAATTATGAGGAGAGAGGAGATTTTCAGAGTAAGAATCCCTAGAACATAAGCACAATTCCTGGGAGAATTTCAGACTTTCAAAGGCTATGAAATTGGAGGGCCCAAGCCAAGATCTCCAGGGGATTAAAGGAATCAGGTAATGTCTGGGTTTTGGGGGGAAAGAATAGAACATTGACTGAGGTCTATCTCTGACAGGATGAGAGGGTGGAGCCTGAAGGAGGATCCAGAAGGCCCAGGGGGTGGAGGGATCTGCAGGGGAGGGTGGTAGTGGGGGGGCTGTGGTTCAGCCTTCTCCTCTCATCATCCCCCCACCCTCAGGAGCCCTTTGTGATGAGGGGCCACAGCTCTGTGATGCAGGTCTGGGCCCTGGTCAAGAGGCCCAAGGGAAACTCCCAGTGCTCAGCTGCTCTAGGGCAACAGTGTGATTCAGAAGATGGAGACTAATCTCATGCCTCTGAAAAGCATTAGTCCCCCATGGATGGGCACCAGATGCACTAACTGGGTGTTAAATATCTTCCTGGTCTTTATTTGTGGAATGGGGCTCTTCTTCCTGTTCATACTCTTTTGGCAGAGTGATCCATCCTCACCACGGCCTGGGCAGAAAAGAAGCATCAGGAAGGTAAGGAACCCTTGGCCCAGATCCAACAGAGAATGATTCTCTCTTTCTTTCTGCTATTATTTACACTTTTCCACATACACTAGAGACTCCTGAGATGGGAATCTCCTCATTTTTCTGGGCCCAGGCAGGGCAGGGCAGGGTTAGAGTGGCAGAGGATTTCTAACTGAAGCTCTCAGACACCTTGTGTGGGTACAGGAAGCATCAGGGCAAAATCAAATGCTGGGACTCAGCGGCCAGGACTGGACTATGAGAGAGTTGAGACCTGTGTGACAGGGCGACCCTGGGCCTGGTTTCATTGCTCATCAGTCGCCTTCCCATGGCTGGTGCCTTCGCCCAGCCTTTCCTCTGTGTGGGGTGATCTGAGGGCTGTGCCGAGCCCCTGAGAGCCTCCCATCAGAGGCTGGAGTGGCCTCTGGCCTCCTCAGGAAGCAGAATCCTGAGAGCTCAGAGGTGCCTGTAGGTCTGAGTCAGTGAATTTCTTGAGCAGAGTGTTAACGGGGAAAGAACACAAACTCTGTAAAACAATTTGAAGAGGTTTATTCTGAGTTAAATGTATATGACCATGGTCCAGAGCACATGGCCTCAAGAGGTTCTGAGAAAATGTGCCCAAGGTGACCAGGTTAGAGTTTGGTTTTATACATTCATGGAGACAGGAATTACATGTAAAATCATAAATCAATACATGGAAGGCATACATTGGTTTGGCCCCAAAAAGCAGGACATCTCAAAGTGGGGGTTCACAGATTATAGGTGGGTTCGAAGATTCTTTGATTTGTAATTGGTTAAAGAAATGAAGCTTGTCTAAAGCCTTGAAATGTTTCAAGTTAAGATAAGCAAGTCTGTTAATCAGAGACAAGCCAGGGATATATACCTGACTCAAGTGATCTCTTGAGTAAATTGACGGCCAGCAGGTGTGGTGTGACCTTTGTCTTGCATGGCCTTAGGACTGGTAATGATTTAGTATCTTACTGTTACAATGACTAATTCCAGAAGGGAGGGGCATGAGGAAGGGTATCTGACTTCCCTTCTCCTCTTGGCCACCAACTCAGTTTTAAGGTTTTTCTGGGGTCCCCTTGGCCCAGAGGGGGTCCATTCAGTTGGTTGGGGGGCTTAAGATTTATATTTAGTTCATAAGAACAGTGACAGAGGAAACCCATAGTTCTCCCATAGAAAATCCCTCTTTGCATTTTTCCACTTGACAAATGAGTAAAAGGAAAGAAAAGAAGACAGGGGTCCATTAGCCAGATGCAGAAGGTCACGTCCTCCACGAGCACTGAACGTCCGCGGCCTGTCTGGGTATGGGTGAGGACTGGTCCAGTCCCTTGATCTTTCTTGTCTCTCAGCATCCAGTGGGGATGATGGGAAGACCCAAGAGCAAGAACAACAGTAGTGCTCTAAAAGGTAAGGCTCTGCCACTCTGCCTGGATCACCGGAGGGGGGCTTAGCTTCATTGTCTCTGAGGGACGAGTCTCTGAGGAGGTCAGCTGCAGTGGCCTGGACTGGTGCGGGGGCTCCTGGGAAGGAGATCAGAACCCAAGATACTTCTCAGATCCCATGCTTGGAAGGAGGCCAGGTGGGCCAGGAAGGGGCACTGCCCAGGAGGACGTGGAGGGGGAAGGGGACACATAACAACCTGGATGTGGAGGTGGGGCCTCCAGGCCCAACTGTGGACAGCTGCTTGACCTGGCTAAGGCTGGCTCCTCTTCGAGGCAACCCCAGTGTTCTCTCCCACAGGGAGGGTGTGAGGACCCTGAGGATGGATGTGGGAGCAGTGTGTACGTGATAAAGCACTGCTCACCGCACTTCCTGTTGTCACTGCTGGGGTCACATGGCCTTGGACACTGATGTGTGTGCTCCAGGGCCTAAACCCCAAGGTCTGCCCTAGAGAGACATTCAGCCTCTTGCAAGATCCCCAGGCCCCTCCCTTGCCCTGTAACCCAGCCCCTAATTTCCAGCTTGCAGAGATTGCCTGAGGGAACTGGAGGGGGCTCGGGACCTGACTTTGCTTCTGCAGAGGTGAGGAACTCTCCCCTTCTCTCCCTGTCATCCTTCCTATTAGGGTCTGGGATGCCACCCCAGGGCCTGGGGCCAACCTGAGAGAGGGAGACCACGGGATAGGGACAGGATGTGACTAGAGCCCTGGGCTGGGGAGAAGCAGAGCTTTGTGAAGTCAGTGTTGGGACAGAGGAGGAGCCGTGGGCCGCAGGTGCCCACCCCTGCCTTGCCCCCTGGCCTACCCACTCCTGCTATAGCTTGTGCCTCCTGTCTCCTGCAGCCACCTGGGGAAGCTCTCATGTCCAGTCCCCCCGGGGGAGGAGTGCCAACCAGTGCCTGCCAGAGCCCACCAGCCACGTGGGGAGCGTGTGGAAGATGCTTCTCCTGCCACCTCGTCCCCATTGGCTTCCCCGACTCCCCTGACCAAGCACCCTCCGCCTGTGGCTTCCACCTTGTCAGTACAACCTCAAGGAGACCAATCTGACTTGAAGAGAGTCCCCCCAGGCACCATCCCAGAGAGCTCACCTACAGGTTACTCTTGTTATGTGCCTCCCGTGTGGGCCATCTCAGGCCTTGAATGCATCATTTTGTTCCTTTCCCGGTGGTGGGCGGTGGCCAAGGGCCTGTTCTCCCCCACCTTGCCACACTGCAAATCCCAGCAAGAGCCTCTTCTCCACCATCCACCAGAGGCTTGGTTCTGGGGAAACCCCACATACAGGCAGATGGAGGCTGGTGGCCCCACTTTCCTCAACCCTGATGGCTGGAAGCTCCTGGAAATATTCATCACCAAGCGAGCAGCATTGAAGCTGGGGAAGGAGAAAGAAAAGGAAGGGTCATTTCTGAAACAAATTAGCCCAGATTACCCTTGGGGTTCTCTGGGGAATATGATAAAGTCACTGGGCGAGGAGCAAGACACCACAACCCCACGCCCCTTCTGGAACATGCAAGAAAAACCAGAGCAGCTGTCCGGTCCTCAGGGCGAATTCCCAGGGAGCGGTCCGTGTGGGGCAGAAGACAAGCATGGGGCCTCCCTACCCTCCCAGCCTCCTGAGTCTGCAGGTGAAAGCAGCAAGGATGAACAGAAGATGGGGTCCAGGCACTCTGGAAGATTCTCTTGGAACGGCTCCCTAGGTGTCAGAGAAGACAAGAATCCAAGTGGACATCTAGGGCAAGATCTGGAGAGGGTCCCAGAAGATCCATGCACGGGTTCCAGCAATACCTCCGTGAAGCTTCTGGAGGAGAAGGAGGAGGAAGATGGTGACTTGACTGGGCCCCAGGGGTATAAATCAGGAAATTACTTACCAAGGGGCCCAGAGAAGCAGCAGCTTGAAAAAACTCTGAAATCTCACTTGGAGCGGAAGCCTGGGGAGATCGGCGAGGGCATGGTCCCTGTGCGTGCGCGGCAGTCCTGGCTTACTGCCAGCCGTGCCGTTGCCGAGTCTGACACCCGCACAAAACCCAGAAACCTGGCACCCCAGAGGGGTCAGAAATGCTATGTGGGCGCCTCCCGGGGGCTTTCCTTCCTCCATCCCTGTACTCAACAGATGCTAGAAGTACACATTATACGGTTTCGGGTGAGGCACAGGTGGCGTTCAAACCTCCAGTCCCTGGAGCCCATAAATCTCAAGGCTCAACCCCCACCCCTTGCACTCTCCACCCTTCTCTCCGTGGACATCCGTGAATTTGAGGACAACTCCATAGTCAAGGCTGCCAATTTCCTGGGAGAAACCTCCTTGGGAAGGTCCAAGAGAGAAGGTGTTAACAGGAAAGTCAGTCCTCACCCTGACTGGTTTTCTCCCTGCCCCCTCACCCAACTCCAAAACTGTTGATGTGCACATGAGTTCAGGATCTCTGGGGACCAGTAAAATCTCCCAATGATCTACAATTTCTGTTCCCCAGCATCCAGGAGAGCTATGTGTCCCATAATAAACTGGATACATGCAGAGAAAACCTGTTCTCATGTTAGCACATCCTCTGGTTTCTATTGCTTCCCAATAGATGGGTTTTTTGTCATCAGAGGAGGTGGCTTCTATCTGTAAGGTGCTGGGACACAGGGAGGGGGTCAGAGTCCACTCTCCCTTAGTGCAGCTTCTAGAAGGGAGGGGCATGGAGGAGGCTGACAGGTGCTTGCAGACCCACCCTCACCCCGGGGTCACTCACTGCACCTTGTTTTCATAACCCAATCATTAAAAAGAGCTTTTCGGGACTGGCAGGACTGGCAAACCCTATGGAGACCCCACCCCAGGACCTGGCTCACCCTGTCTTTCTCCACTTTCCCTCTGCTGGGAGCTTTGTGAAACTTATGGAAGAAGTACCCCTCAGGCTCCAGGAATGTGGGGATTCACAGGCTCTGAAGTGGGCTGGGAAGTTTTGGGACTGGGGGTGCTGGCTTTGGGTTCAGCGGAGAGATCTGGCCCCCATGGCTCTTATGATGGGGATCAGAGGACCCTTTGCAGTCCCTCCCTGCCAGTAGAAATGGGCTCTGCCAGCCCCTCTGGGCTCCGCCTTGGTGACAGGAGCATGCCCCTCCTGGCCTGATCCTTCCTCCCTTTGAGAGCTGTGGCCGAGACAGGACCAGAGTGACTGGATACAGAAGGAGGTGCCAGGGTCACATCCACACTCCAAGACCACCCACCTTCTCCTCTAGTGTGACTGCATACACAGGAGCCATCTGGTGGTGGCACATGGAGGATGAGGGCGGGTGTGGGAGAAGAAGAATCGGAGCGGTGGGAGCCAGGAAGGCAGCAGAGTGCATACACACCCTAAGCGGCGACCACCCAGTGCACCTGTAGGCCAAGGTGATTGGGCAGCGGCCCCATGGTGAGGGGCTGGACCAGGGGGCGCAAAGCTGTTGCAGGAAGGTGGCTTTTCCCCCTGCATATGTGACCAGCCTATACCATCACCTCTGGAATTCCAGAGAGGACAATTGGTTGACCAGCAGAAAAGCCAGTTCTTGGTACCTGTGGAATCACAGCCTGATGACCGTTACAGACACGTGGCCCAGGGCTGCTGGGGGTGGGGAGTGAAAGCTGGTGGAGCAGGGCCGGCTCCCAGGCTGCTCTTGGAGCTGGTCCTGCCTCGGCCAGGGATGGGGCAGTCTCCAGGGCGCCCAGCAGTGAGGGGGGCCTAGGACCCCAGGAAGACCGGGGCTGAGCAGTGACCTCAGAGACCCCCACAGAGACCTCTGACAGAGACCACCACAGGGACTGCTTACTAGTCCCCCAGAAGGGCCTCTGACAGATAACTCCACAGGGACCTCTGACAGAGAGAAATATTGACAGAGCCCATTAGTGACCTCTGAGAGAGACCCTCACTGAATACCACAGAGATCTCTGACACAGTTGCCCCCCAAGAGACTCCCACAGGACCTCTGACAGAGAGCCCCACAGAGATCTCTAACAGAGATCCACACTGAGATTTCTGATAGAGACCCATACTGAGATTTCTGATAGAGACCCACACTGAGACACCTCCACTTAGATCTCTGACAGAAACCTGCACTGAGACACCTCCACTTAGATCTCTGACAGAGACCTCCGACTGAGACCCCCACAGGGATCTCCAAAGACCTCTGACAGAGAGACACATAGTGTGCTCTAACAGAGACCTACACAGAGACCTCTGACACAGTCTCCCACAGAAACCTCTATCAGAGACCCATAATAAGAAATTCCCAGAGAAACTTCTGACGCAGATCTACCCTGAGACCTTCCACAGAGCTCTCTGACAGAGACACATCACAAAGACCTCCACAGTAACATCTGATAGAGACCCTCACTGAGAGACCCCACAGATACCTCTGTCAAAGACCCACAGTGAGAGACCTTTTATAGAGAGCTCTGACAAAGACCCACACCAGGAGGCTTGACACAGAGACCTCATATCCATTCTTCGGAGCACAAGATGTAGATCTCAGAGATTTGCCCTGTGCCCCCCAAAAATACTTGTGTATTTTTGTTGCACGAGTGTAAACCTTAACTCTTTCAAATAGCCAATATAATGTTTTGAGGAAAATCTGTAAAAATAAAATAGTATTAAAATGTTTAATTTAATGGTGCAAAGAAACTTCTGTATTATTAAATCTAAACCACTTATAAGTAAAATATGAATATCCTTGTAACTTTTGAAATTCTTGAAAGTAATATTTAGGTGTTCATAGAATACAAATTAAAAAGCAACTTTACTTCAAAATATTCTTTCTAATATGACACAAATTTATTTAAAATCTATTATCAAAAAAGATATATGTTTAAAATAATTTACATATGCAACTTGCAACAGCTGCATCTATTATGGTAAATATGATGTTCAAAAAAAATAAACAACTACCCCTCACCCACTTGAACATCTAATATGCCGAAAAGTCTAGACAACCTGTTGCTTATTAACAATCATATGCAAAATAGAGTAGTGATAAATAACTGCATTCACTTTCCCTGTTTAAAAATTATATTTGAATTATTCAAAATAATGAAAAATGTCCTTAAACATTACCTGTTTCAAAGATGTGTAAAAGAGAAGGTAGAAAAATATGACTGTATGCTCAGTGCCTAACAACTAAACTTCAGTTACGAATATATGTGTGTTCATACATACATATGTGCATGTGTATTTTAGCATTGTTAGATTTGTATTACCTATGCCAGTTTTTGCTGGAAAACACTGATTTCATTATTCTACAAAGCATAGCACGTCACAATCCGTAGGTTTGAAGCCTGAGTAACTGTCCTGTCTCCCTCCAGCTGCTTCTGTCAAGTTTGCCTGTGCTCTGCCGGCAGGCAGTTTGCCCAGGCACAGCGGAGCCAGGGGCAAAAGCAGGCCGGCGGGGCGAGTGGATGCAGACCTGGTGCGAGGTGGGCAGCCTGAAGCCGCCTTCTCCCTGTGCGATGGAGTGAGACTGGCACACGCGGAGGCTTGCCGAGTGCCCAGCACTGTGTGGAGCCCTGGCACACCGGGCTACGTCATTTGCAGTCCTGGCAGCAAGCCTGGGAGGAGGTGTCGTTATGATCCCCATTTTGTGGAGAGGAAGATGGCAGCTTGGGACGCTGGGGTCTCCCCAGCACAGCCACCCCTGGGCTGTGCTCACTGGGGCAGCAGGAACTCCCCAAAGGCCATAGTATTGAGCGCAGAGCTGGCAGCAGAGCCACCAGCCCCTGAGCAGGGGAAGGCCCTGCGCTGCCCCTCAGGCCCCTTCCTGGCCACTGGGGGTGGTGGCGGCTCCTGCACTCCCAGGACCACTGAGAGTCAGGTGTGGCCAGGGCCTGGGGAGCATTTGCCGCTTTTCTTTTTGCTGCTTCTTTTGAGAGAGGGACGTTTTTTTCCTCCGTTTTTCGTTTTTTGTCTGCCATGGCCTGCAGGACACTTCTGCTCAACAGAGCTACCCGCCCCCTCCTGTGCCTGGCTGGCACATTCAGCCCCCGCCCAGGCCAGGAGGAAGCCACAGACTGTGCCCTGCGCCCAGCAGTCAGGGCCTGCACTCAGGCTGGGCTGACACAGCCACACGCAGCGCGCACACCTGGGTAAGCACCTGCCATCCCTCCAGAGTCCTCCCCTCTGTCCCTCAGAGAGTCAGACCCTGGCCCAGGTGAGGCTCCTCCAAGTCTCCAGCCCCCTTGGGGTTTGGGGAGGGCGGCTGCCTCCAGATCGGGCCTTGGTCTCAGCCAGCCTGGGGCTTTAAGACCTGTCCCTGGAGCACTGAGGCCGGGCACTGTGTCAGGTCAAGGGCAGACGGGGCACTCCTCTCTCTGTAGGTCCTTCGGTGCCCAGTGCTGGGCTCCAGCAGGTGCACGATGAACACATGGCGACTTGGCCTCAGTAACAGTCACATGCTTGGCCTTCTTACTGTGGGCAGAGCCCAGGCTTGGGGACAGACAGTCCTCCAGCTAGCTGTTTCTGTAGGTGACCATGGTGCGGGGGAACTTGGTCCCCCACTTCATCCCCGTTCCAGAGAGAAGAGGGGATCAAAGGAGGCAAAGAGGGGGTCAGACCAGTGTCATGGAGCACATCAACTCCTCAGCCACTCCCTGGAGACAGTTCCCTAGCAGAGGCCACGGTGGATGGGGCAGGTGGCAGGGGTGCCACTCTCCAGGTACCAGCCCTTCAGAGGTGCATTCGTCTTGGGCTGAGATGCCTGGGAATCAGGCCCGCCCTGAGAGGCAGGTCTCACACTGTGAAGGGTCAGAGAGGTCACTGGGGGTGCTGAAGGTCCCAGGAGGACAGGCGTGGGAGGGAGTGTGGGGACTGGAGGAGGCTGCAGGGCACACGTGCCTATGACAGCCAGGGGGTTGGTGCTGGGGGGCCACCAGGCAGAGCCCAGCATCCTGGAGCCTCACAACACGATCCCGCTGTGCCCACGGCTTGCAGTGGCTCCCACAGCAACCTCTGTGAGCTCCCTTTCCCCATGGACAAAGCCAGGACGACAGCTCCCCAGATGCCTCCTGAGTGTGGGGACCTGACACAGTGCTGGGCCTCAGCGCTCCAGGGGCAGGTCCTGGAGCCCCAGGCTGGCTGAGACCAAGCCCCGATCTGGAAGAGACTGTGGGATTTGAACAGTATTCTGAGCTTCTTCCCTTCTCGGACATCATGAACAAGGTTAAAGACAAACAGCATAGTAGGGTCATATGTGCAGCATGAACCACAGGCCAAGCAGCTGTCTACTTACTTCCTTTTATACAAAAAGCCCTTACAAACCAATAAGATACAGACAGAGAGAGAATGAGAGAGAGCACCAACAGGAAAACATAAGCAAAGTGGAAGAGCAACTTTAAAAAGAAGCACCCATGTATTGATGGGCATTTGGGTTGTTTCCACATCTTCGCAATTGTAAATTGTGCTGCTATAAACATTCGAGTGTGCTTGTGGCCCTGGCTTGAGTGAGGCAAACGCACTTCATGTAACTACAATATTTGTACCCCCATAATATCCTGAATTAAAAAAAATAAATAAAGTAAAATAAAAGTTAAAAAATAAATAAATAAAAATAAAGAGAAGCACCATCAGCCTGCTTTTAGAATCTCTTGCCCCACACTTCCCAGCCAAGGCTACCCCCTCAGCCTGCCCCAGGACCTGTTGCCAGCTCACAAGCTGGGATTCTGCCCTCACATCCTGAGGGACGCTGGGGGACAGTGGATGGCTCTGGCCTTGGAGAAATGGCGGCCCTGTGTGTCAGGGCTCTTCCCTGGGAAAGCTGTGGACATCAACCTCAGCTCTCTGCTCCTCTGTGGGAACCTGCTGCCAAGGCTGGCTGTGGCCTGTGCACCTTGCCCCTCTGATCACCACCTCCCTGAGAGGGGCACCTCCAGGATACCACAGCCATGCGGTCCTGGCAGCATCTCTGTAAGTGTTCCCAGAACAGACTCTATTCTCAGAGGGCCTGGAAGTGGGAGGGATCCTAAAGTCAGGAGGTTGGGGATGCCAGGCCAAGGGGAAGCCTACCCGAGAGACAACACCCCACCTGTGTCTGGTGACTCCCCAGAGTTCAGCTCAGGCAGGGAGGAAGCACATGATTGTGGGAGAATCTTCTGCTCCAGGGTGGGCTCAGGGGCTGGGCAGGCCCCCAGCTGCTTCTTCCAGGGCAGGGGGACAGGGCAGGAAGAGAGGCCTGCAGTCTTGCCTGTGGGCTGCCTGGAGCCTGTGCACAGGCTGGGACCAAATCAAACACGTTTCTTCAAGGGAAGGGGAGGGAAGGAGGGAGGATGTCAGTGGGACAGGAGGATCTGAGGGGGAGTATCCCCTTCCCCTTCCCCATACCTGCCCCACCCCAAGACAGGGGATTCTGGGGCAGAGGTATCATCACTGTCAGCCCCAGCTTGGACTCAACCACCACTGCCAAGGGGCGGCCAGGGGCAGGCCAGGAGGTGGGCTGCCTTTCCGTTTGGAGGGGGAAGCGGCATTGCATAAATGCTTCCTTGGTCTGCCACTGCTATCTCTGCAAGCTCATATCAATGGAGGAGCTTGGTGAGTATTTGAGGAAGTGACATGAAGCTCAGGGAAGCAGTAACTGGCCCTGGTGAGTTGTGCAGAACAAGTCACAGAATGTGTGGTTTATTCAGTATCACACAGGTTTCCACACAGCGGAACTGAGGGGAATGGCTGCTGCCCAAAGATCCCAAATTGTGTTTTTAGCCATGATCTTTCCTTCCTTCTCTCGAAGAACTTTCATTGCCCCTTACAATTAACTGGAGCTCTACCATCCACAGAGCCCTCACCTGTGTCGGCTCAGGGAACACGCCCTTCCCCAGCATAGCATTCCCTTCTAGCATGAGGAGGGGTGTGCAGGTGGCAGAGCTGGGATGCAAACCCAGCAGGGCTCCAGCATCCAGTACTAACCTGACAGGGCAGACTCCTACCATCTGCTCTGATGACACAGGAAAGTGACTCCCAATGCTGGGAGCCACTCCCCTGGTCCCTGTTGCCTTCCTGGTTAAGCTATGGCTTAATTAACAAGGGATGGAATATTCATGGCAGGGCCATTGTTTTCCTGGAATTGGGGTGACATCCTCTATTCCTCCACCATCTTGGCTCTAATGGTTGGAACTTGCCCTGCCTCCATCCTGTTTGGATGGGGCAATTTGAAACTTTGAGCCTTTCTGACTCAGGTAATGCTGCAGCAACGCACACAGGAATGCCCAACACCTAAAACAGTACCTGCCAGTTCCTGTCTCGCTGCCTCCTCCCAGAGAGCCCAGGGCTTGACATAGACACCATGTAATTCCAGATAGGCAGGAGGCGGTGGGCAGGGCCGGTGGCACAGAGCCCACAGAGCAGCTCATCATGCAGCCATCGTGAGTACCCAGCCCTGTAGGTCTCATAGGGAGGCGTCCACAGGACTAGCGCAGCCTCCAGCTGGGTCCCCTCCCTTCAGGCATGACAATCCTGAGGCCAGGCCAGGAGCTCAGAGAGCAGCCCAGGTCTGTTGGCATCTGCCCTCATCATGAGGGAGGCGCACACAGAGCCTGTGGCCAACCAGTGGTAGCAACACCCCCAACTCCACATGTTTCCTGAGTCCCTGCCTTGCAACAGGCCCACATATTAGAGGTGTGGAAAGAACCTTTACTTCACTGCCCACCCCCCTTTCCAGGCCAGGTCATCTCTGGTGCCAGAAATGCCCAGGACGAAAACTCTGCAACTGGGTAAAGCTGGCTGGCCCTGTGACATCTCTACCTCACACTTCTGTCCAGCCCATGACCTGCTGCCCATCCCTTTTCCCACGGTGAGACTCTCGCCAGGCCCCTCTAGCTAATGTCACTCAGCTTCTGCCTGGGAAGGCCCAGGAGCCATTGGAACCGTACTGGTAGTTGAGAGGGAAACTTCCCTTCACCATGACATGGCCACACTCCAGCCCCACCTGCACCCCCACTCAATTGAGCGCTGAACTGCTCAAGGTCCCACTGCTGGTTCCTGCTAGCGTGCTAGAGCAGGAGGTCACAGGGACAGGGTACCCCAGGCCTGTGGGAGGAGGAAGGGTCAGCGAGCTGGAGGGCCACGTGCAGGTGCAGCTCCCTGTGGGGCAGCCTCCCCTCCGTGCCCCCAGCCACTGTGTCCTGACCCAAGGTGCACACACCCCTTCAGATGACCTGGGTTCCTCTGTTCTCTCTTCCCCCTGCCATCGAAATCTTCTGTGAAGAGTCATAGTTACATTTCTCACCAGATGGGCATCTCCCAGTCAAACATTTTAGTCCATTAAAAAGTCAATGCCACCCACTAGTGCGTGTGTCTTGGGGAATCCATTCCGGGAGAGAACCATCCATCTCCTTCTCCCCTGCCCTGTCTGACCAAGGGGAAGGTAGAGGGTACTGCTCCCTCCCTGGCAGAGCAGCTGGCCTGTCCAGGCCTCCAGACTTCCAGGACCTTGACCTTCATGGTGTATCCCATCCCTCTCTCCACCCGGGG